AACTTATTATTTGGTTAAAATTAGTATCTTTTGTGAATTAAAAAACACTCAACTTATAAATTAGTTCTTTATTTTTCATCAAATAAATAAAATCAAATTTAATTTTAAAAACATTTCAATTAATGATATTTTTCACAATCTTTCAAAACAATAGTCAGAAAAAAGTAATGACAGCCGAAGAACTGGACGCAGAACTCGATGCCTACACTAATAAGGTTTGATTTATATATGCTTTTTGTTTGATTTTTACAAATGGTTTTAATTGTTGTTAATTTATTTTTGGTAATTTAGATGTGAATGAATTCATCGTTGAGTCTAAATTAAATTCAACAAAAAGTTTGTTAAAATTTTCCGCTCATTTATTTCCGACATTTTAATTCAATTATTTGATGTAAAACTTATGTAATTTTATCCAATCATGAATTATTTGTAACCGATTTTAACATTTTAAGTGAAATAAAATTTTTGATTAATTAAATTATTTAAATTATTCTAAATTAAAAACAATTGCATTTCGTGTTAAGCAAATGAAACGTTGAAATTGTTTATCAATAACTTATTCGTTTGGTTTAACACTTAATTCTATGCGGAAGTGTATCGACAAAAACGAGAGCCAATTATTACAGTAATTAAAGATCAATAATAATTGTAAATAATTAGCGAAACGCATGGAAACAATGGAAACAATGAAAGGCACCCTTCAGTCCAACAAATTTAGATTAAAACATAAATTAGATGTAAACGTCTAATCAGTAATCATTGGCCCATTCGTTCTCCATTAAGAATGTGTCGATCACTTCCTTCATCGCCAGATTCGGTGTCAACTGATCGACAGTAAGTGGCGTTCGGGTGACCGGATCGAAGTGACCGACGCGTTGCAGATGCTCTTCAATGTCTTTGCGGTCGTATGTGATGCCACTCGGAGTGACCACCGGATCGCGCATTATCTCAAAACTGATTTTCCCACACAAATAGTCGGGAACTTCACGTTTCTATTCAAACAATTAGTTTGTAATTCAATTCAAGTGTCAAAAGCGGAGTCGAGTCTAACCTTTCGTCTGACGTCTAATTCGGCAAACATTGCGTTCAATTCATCAGTCCTTTGATCGGTTGTGGAGACAATCATTTGTTTGAGATCCTCTGCTGTCTGTTCATCGGTGATGGCATTGGTCTGCACTTCAGACTTAAGTTTATTAAGCTGTTGTTCTTTGTCTAATTGGATCAATGTATTCAAGTATGTCTGCAGCTCTATCTCCTCTTTGATCCGTTTCTCTTCGCATACATTGAATCGTTTCTTTCGGGCGACTCTTAACTGATACGTGAGTTCGTCTCCGAAATTCAATTTCTGCTCTTTCGCCAAATCCACGGCTAAAACACAATGTATTCGTTGAGACAATCGTATCAATCGATGGCAAATACAATACCCCTTTGCAAGTGTTTGATGGCGTCGTCGAAGTGATCCATTTCCAGCAACGACTGGCCTAAGAAGAAGTGGCCTTTCATCAGGTTTGGCTCCATTTCCAGCGCTCGCCTGCAGTCCTGATACGACTGTTCCCACTGTTGGAGCTTTAGATAACAGAGCGCTCGGTTCGTGAAGAATGTGGCCACCGATGGGTTCCGCACCTATGGGTACACAATCACAGACAACAACACATGTGGTTAAGAGAGTGGTAGCGATAGTCATGTCAGTATAGATTCAATGGTACGGACTATGGCTCGGGTGTAGCTATTGATCGCGTCTTCATATTTGTGGTTCAGATAATATCTGTTTCCCTCGTCTTTGAGCTGAAAAGCGCTCAACTCTTGCTTCATATCGAGCGCCGACTTCTGGTTGTGACCACTCTTTCGGCCGCTCTTTGAACCGGTCTTAGAGTCACCGAAATGTCGTAAACGAAACAGTTTTGCAATGGATTTCACTATCGATTACTCCTGCGATTCATATGTCATATGATTTCTACTATTTGTTTGGCATTTAATAACAACACGTTTTTCGCAATCAATTCATCGCTAAATTCTGATCAAATCAATGGTTTAGTGATTCAATGCATGCATTAATTCACACAATGTTTACAACAATTACTGTTAAAAGCAGTGTTTTTATTGTCAATGTTTTTGTCAATTATTTCACACAAAAACAATATTCAATGCAATGACGAAAGCAGTAAACCGTCCGTAAAGAGCGTTACGCACGCAAAACAGTGCCCCACATGTGCTTTGCCTCTATTAAATGACCCCCTCTTTTGAGTGACTGTTGTGTGTGAATGCGGTGTCTGTGCTGTGGCTTCAGTGAAATGACTGTCAATTACTGTACATTGCATTGCATTACAATGTATTGTGTATAGGAATGCATTGCATTGTATGCGTTTCATTATCTTACCATGGTCATATTGTGGTCATGTACATGTTTACTAATTTGAAATGCATATTTATGATGGCTATATGGTTAATTAAATTATTTAAATATATAAGGTTGCGGTTTTGCACCATGTTGATTTCCATATGACTAACGTAACTATACATGTAGTATAAGAATTCCCATGGTCATGTTTAGTGGACAGCTCAAGTAATACTCACAATAGAAATGGATTAGATTATTACTGTATTGTCATATGAAGTGATGATTTGGTTAACTTTCATACGATATTAGAATTAAATGAAACATTAAAACAATTATCATTTTATAGTCAACTTATTTACAACTTTTATTAAACATTTGAACAATAAAACAATGAGAGAATCGTATGGTATAATCGTTTTCTATAACATAATGTTCTATAAGTTATAATACAAATATATAATAAACTATAATATATGGCATCTATGGGTCAATTATGGCTAATTTGGTCAACAATTAGTCTAAGATGTGATCAAATTGTGAATAACTGAATGATATTTGTTGGGAGAGATCTTTACGTTTGATAGACTTGTTTGGCTCTAAATGCGAGTGCAATCTCTCGATGACAGTGAGAGGTGTGGAGAGCAAGTGCTCGACGATATAGCCGATGGTCACGTCGTCGGGCAGTCGTATACTCTCACCAATGCTAATGAATTTGCCTCCACTGGCCATCGGAACCATTCGCAGAGCGATGGCTCGCGACAGACAAAAGCCGGCGCCGCCCGTCGCGAACCAGAACGAGACCTTCGACTTCTTGTTGTGTCGGCTCACGATCTCCAACGGCTGGCGTATACTTGGTTTTCCCAAATACCAGTCCTTCAGCGGATTGTATGACCGCAACAGTGCCACCAATTCAGGCACATTCACGTAATTATCGTCATCGAAGTGGCAAAACCATCGCTTATTGCTTTCGATGAATGTATCAAATTCTACGCTCATCTTACAGCACAACGCCCTCCTGTATAATGCAATACATAGAAAAAACAGGTCCTTTTAGTTAGTTTTGACCACTTTTCCCCTACTTCTATACATGTAATGCATGGCTACAGTGCGGCCGCCACTCTATCGCATAGCTCAACATAGATTGGATAGTTTTTTGTTGCTTAAATAGTGGTGAGTCTGAATCATTAATTGAAATGTTTTTAAAATTAAATTTGATTTTATTTATTTGATGAAAAATAAAGAACTAATTTATAAGTTGAGTGTTTTTTAATTCACAAAAGATACTAATTTTAACCAAATAATAAGTTATACACAATAATCATTGCATAAATAATTGAGTTATAGTAATGAGTTTAAGTAAAGGTATCACACATTTCTAACAAAGCATTTTTGACATCAAATTGTGATAAATTATGAAAAGTTTGCAAACTTTTGTCCTCTCGATCCTCCGCCTCGTCCTCCACCGCCGCCTCCTCTCGAGGTTCCTCTTCTGGCGCCGCCTCTGAAGCCTCCTCTTCCGCCTGAGTTTCCAGACCTTCCGCTTCCACCACCGCTACCGCCGCCGCGGCTTTGCGTTCGGTTTCCGGCGGGGATTCCGATTCTGGAGCTGATACTAGTGGTCGCCGATTCACTTCCGACCATAAGCTGTATTTTCATTGGTCGGCCTATGGGGGAGATAAGAGCTCGCGTTCGGATCTATTTCATTGGATTCGGTGACCACTGGTATTATAAGTCACACGTCATTAGTTTACCATCGAGTGGCACTCCATTGTACTGATTCATGGCTTTCATTGC